AAGAAGAAGAAGAAGAAGAAGAAGAAGAAGAAGAAGAAGAAGAAAAAGAAAAAGAAGAAAAAGCCACTGAGAAACAAATCCATGAATACCTTGTTGTAACATGTTCCACCCCTGATGCAACAGCATTTTCAAAATATTTTTTAAACCATTGAGTTYTTCAAAAGCGCAATTATTTTTTGTTAAATGGTCTTAATACCAATAAGCATTGTCGTGGTATAAAACAGTACATATTGATATACAGTCAGTAGTTTAGCACCAACCATCAAGTACTTTGAAAAAGTTTAAGAATAGATTTGACCATCTTACCTGCTTTTGGTTTAAGTATATAATCTTGTGTTTGTCCAAAGCTTTCTATCGACGTAGCACACACAGCTAAGCTGAGGAGAAGAATTATAGCGAAAAACCTCCGGTTCGCCATTTTCACCACTCTGACACCTTCGCTGGCAAACACCGTTTTGTAATTCTTTATTGAGCACTTTATTCATAAATGAGTGTTTAATTTGTATGCTTGAAAGAATCCATTTTTTCCACTTCATCAGTTTGTTAGGTTTTAAAAAGAGCGTGGGTAAATACTTGACCCACGTCTCCAAGTCCTTCATGTGGTTCGTGACGTCACTAAGACTACATCAAATAGGGCGTAAGTTTGTTTTGATTCTCGACACAGAACACGATCGAGTCGGTGTGGACAAATCTCATATTATCCATCCATCCATTGATCCTAATTTCCAACAAAAAAAACACTGAACAGTTTGACATGTTATAATGCATTAGAAAATCAACTACAGTTCGTATTATAAAGTGCAAACAATTAATCCGTGAACACTAATTACTAAATAGTACAAAATAGTCCTAATTAAACAATAAAAAACAATGGAATTTGCATGAAATTGTGCTATTTAGTATTACTAAAGTTTCACGGTTATATTGTTTGCACTCTAGTCCTATGCACGCGCCCTTACATCTTTAAAAACATCTTTATTGCCTCAACCTTTAATTACCATCCCTGAATCTAATTCTACTTTAACAACACTAATATTTTTTTCACTACATGATTAACCACGGTTTCAAAGTGAATAACAATGGACGCTCTCGACCCTACTGATCCGTATTACCGACCCTTTAATGGATTTGAAAAGTTTTTTCGGTTCTTCAGCACGCAAGCGACTTTAGTCTAAAAAAGTTGTCCTTTTCGTCGGTTGTTGACATATTTTGGTTCAGTACTTAAAGTGGAAAATAGTTTATAAGTTCAAATTATAAAAACTTCCTTATAATAAAGAGGAAGGAGCTCCCAATTTGTTTTCTCGTCATGATACGGTGTGCATAAGGCGCGATACCATTAGAGCGAGTCTTAATAATATAAAATAAATATTTATAATGTAAATACAAACTCGTACTCCAAAACAAGGAATAAACTTGTGAAGCATACCATTTTTGTTTCTGTCGTTCTTTCAAATAAGTTTTTTTAAAGACTATTTAAATTAAACTGAATAATTAATTAAAAAACAAAAACAAACTATAACTATCATAATTCCATTGTTATTACTAATTGACTGATTTATCATTGGCATTCCTTCACTAGATGCTAAATGCGCTAGTTTTTCAGCCACTTATCGCAGCGTGAACCTCCATCTTGGACAAAATGTCGGATCAGGCGGATTGTTATAGAATTTCTTTGGCCAAAGAAAGACCCAATGAAAAGACTAAAGAAGTTCAAAACAAATATACATTAGATAATTTTCTACAGTTCAACGACTTTTCGTATGCATGAAAGACTTAAAAGAAACGTTAATATTCGGCGATTTAAATAAACAATTTATAATAAAGTAACCGCCTTAGATTTCCAAAATTCATACTTGTATTTTTTGAAAAACGTTATGAAATTGTATGTAAACCAGAACATATAATTATAAGAGACTTTGGTCAAAAATTCTGTGGTAATAATAAAACAACAAAAAATACCGTGAAACTAAAACAAAGACAAATTCAATTATATTAAGTTATTGAAACAAAGAGATCTTTACAAGTACATGGAAGCGGTAGAAATGCACTCAACTTTTGGATTATTTGAGAGAGCAGAAATTTCACTTTTGAGACTTTTTCTCGCGAATTCAAATCTTTGTTGATGGAAATAATCTTTTTAATGGAATAAAGACAGTTCCGTGATAAATTGGTCAGTAATTGACAGCTCATCAACACACCCCCAACAATGTTTTAACACTGTTTGTGAAACGAAGCGTTTGGTTCTTGATGCATGGCTAATGAAACCACAAGCCCTGATTTTAAATTCTTTCCATTTAAAACGCTTTAAACGGGCATGCCGAGAGAGAAGCAATTATGGCGAAGTTGAATTTTCTCGTTTGCATTTTGTTGCTCATCGAGACTAGCGTACTAACGTTAGAAAGCTTGGATCGCGGGCAAAATCTAGAGTTCCAAGCACTGCCAGCAAAACTGAATGTTGAAAAAATTAAGGGTAAGATCTTAGACACATTCTTAGATTTTATAAGAATGTCAAGCATATCTTTTCTGTATATCATAGATAAGCATGGAAATTATACTCTAAAAAAAAAAAAAAATCTAACAAATATTTTTAGGCGGAAACTAAAAGAAAGTTTTATAAAGACTGACGTACCTAACAATAAAAACAGTTATAACGAAAACTGGCTCAGTGATTTGTAACGGACTATTAGTTTTCGTTTATTTTTTTCTATCAACGGCTTTTTTCATGTTTGCAATGCACGAGGGAAGAGTGGGTAGGGGGGGAAGTGGGGAGTGGTAGCTATTACGTCATACATTCAACGTCATGCATAAATTATCTCAGATCTTCTCACGTACGACAAAGCGTCCCCTACGTAGGACAAAACGTCGTCGGACGTGACGTTTGTTGTTAAATTTCTAAAATAAACAAACGAAACTCCAAAATTTGAATTTTAAAATGAACTTATGACAAAACAAGTAAAGCTTGATTAGAAATTACTGAGATATTTTATGTCATTTTCAAAATTTCTGTCATCATCATCATCATATAATCATTATTATTATTATTACCATTATTATTATTATTATTGTTATTATTATTATCATTATTATTATTAATTAGTTGTGTGTAGGTGTTTCATATTTTTTTTCTTTGCTTTTTTTTTCTTCACGGGTATTCATTAATTTTTCATCAAGTATTTTTTTCCTGTTGTCTTGTTCAAGTTTTGAAGGTGGACAAGCAAGATGACAACTCGACAGAACAAGTTGACTTTAGTTCTAGGGATGTTTCAAATGATGCTTTTGAAGGGAACGACGCTGATGTTGAAGAGGACGAGGAGGAGGTGGAGGATTTCGTGGATGAGGAGCTCGAACAGAGAGATCTTGACATGATGCTTGATGCAACCGGTGGAGAAAGTGACGTTGATCTTAACCACCGGTCATTCTTTGGTGAGTATATGAAATGCTAACAAATACTTGACCCAACAATAGATGATATGAATAGAATATATGAAGAAAAAGTCTGTTGAAACTGAAATCAAGAGGTATGGTTGAAATTCAATTCGTTCTAACATAGGAAGCAAAATACAACATCATCATCTCTATCATCACCATCATGCATCACCCTCACTACCAACACCACCAACACCACCATCATCACCATCATCAACATAATCATCATCATCATCATTAATATTATCACCATCATGCATCATCATCACCATCACCAACATCGTTATCGTGATCATCACCATCATTCTCATCATCAACATAATCATCATCATCATCATTAATATCATCACCATCATGCATCATCATCACCATCACCAACATCGTTATCGTGATCATCACCATCATTCTCATCATCAACA